CCCGGTGCCTTTCCTGGTCTCAGACTCCGGATCGCCTTCAGTACTTCCTCAACAGATGGCACCTCAGCCAGCCACTCACAGGGGGTGACTTATTCCAATATTTGAGGTACCGCAACCTCAGCAGGGTCATCCTCACTTTGTGCCACGATGTTTTCCCGGCTGAGGGATTTCCCCTCCCCCAGGACTTCACAGAAATGCTCAGCAAATCTGCAAACCTGTTCCTGGGGGTCGGAGATTGGGTCACCGTTTTTTCCCCTAATGATGGTAATAGGTGTGGCGCTGCAGGTTACTTTTTTGATGGAGATAAATAGAGATTTGTGATCGCGGGCCACTGAGGCAGACTCCAACTCCTCAGCAACCCGCGACCACCACCCATCCTTGCAGCGCCTCACGGCTCTCCGAACCTCCGTGCAAAAGCTGCGGTAAGCCTCCTCATTCTCTGACGTGGGATTCTGTAGCCGATAATAGTGGGCCTGTCGCTTTTTCTCAACCATGCTGAACACCTCCTCTGTCAGCCAGGGTCTCTGGGGAGGTCTGGACCGCGTACCCAAAGCAGCCATTGCAGCTGCATGAGTCACAGTCCTAAACCTCGCCCATTTACCCTCGACATCAGGAGGAGTTGGGGGACGATGCCAACCCCAGCCGCAAGCGATGATGAAATTCTCGCTTGCAACTTTCATCAAAAAACTGAATCCAGGCCATTTTAGGTGGGAATGGGGTCCTGGGTGTACACCCACCACCGGAGTGGAAGAATGGCAGGCGCATCTTTAAGATGACTAGTCGATGGTCAGTGGACAGATCAGCTCCACGGTAGATGCTGGTGTCAAGGACATGGGCTCGCATCCGCTGGTCCGTCACTATGTAGTCCAGCAGATGTTCTTGCTTGGACCCGGCATGCATCCACGATGTTGTGTGGATGCGCCGATGCTGGAACAGCGTGTTGGTAATTACAAGCCCCTTTACTGCACGAAAATCTAGCAGCCTCCTACCGTTGTTATTGAGCTGATCTGGCCCATGCCCTCCAATCACTCCAGACCAGGTGCCAGCATCATGACCAACTCGGGCATTGAAGTCACCCAACAAGATGACTCTATCCTGAGGGGCCACTTTAGCCAGCACCTGTGACAGGAGGTCATAGAAGGCATCTGACTCATCGGCGTTGCCTGGATCCCTCCACGGATGTTCGTCTTCGGTGGGGGCATAAGCAACCACGGCCACCATTCCTCGCCTCCGGTTGATGGGAAGGCGAGCCCAAAGTAGCCTGGGGCTTACAGCTTCCCACACCTCACCGCCACGCTCCCACGCCCCCTTCATATTTTTTGTTCAGAAGAAGAGCCACACCCTGTTGTTTGGCAGTCTGCTGCCCCGAGTAGAGGACTGTCCACCCCTCATGGTGGCAGGAGCCAGAACCGGTCCACCGGACCTCCTGAATGCCACAGAGATCCAGGCGGTACCGGTCCAGCTCCCGACAGAGGAGTGGCAGCCTCTCCTCCGCAGTGAGCGTTCGAACATTCCACGTGGCCACACGTAGTGGCTTTTCGTTGTTTCTGGAGGAGCCCCGAGGGTAGAGATTCAATCTCCTGGCTCCGCCAATTGGGGTTTGGCCAGGAGACGTCATTGACGCCTGGCCCCCCGGGGCCTCCGGCACACACACACACACAGATAGACACTCACACACGCAGACACACACAGACACTCACACACACAGACACACACACACAGATAGACACTCACACACGCAGACACACACAGACACTCACCACACAGACACTCACACACACTCAAACACACAGACACTCACACAGACACTCACACACTGACACACACAGACACACACAGACACTCACACACACAGACACTCACACACACAGACACACACACACTCACATACACACACTCACAGACACCCACACACAGACACACACACTGACACACACACAGACACACACAGACACACACACAGATACTCACACAGATACTCACACAGACACATACACACACAGACACTCACACACAGACACTCACAAACAGACACTCACACACACACACACAGACACTCACACACAAACACACAGACAAACACACAGACACTCACAGACATACACTCACAGACACACACACAGACACACACAGACACACACAGACATACTCACAGACACTCACACACAGACACACACAGACACATACAGACACATACAGACACATACACACTCACACACAGACGCTCACACACAGACACTCACACACAGACACACACACATACACACACACAGACCCACATACACACTCATACACACAGACACATACACAAACATACACAGACACACACACACAGACACACACACACAGACATACACTCACACACATACATACACACAGACACACAGACACTCACACACAGACACACATACACAGACACACACACACTCACACACACACTCACACACTCACACACACACACTCACACACTCGCACACTCACTCACACACTCACTCACACACTCACACACTCACTCACTCACACACTCACTCACACACTCACACACCCATAGATACTCGCACACACACTCGCACACACACTCGCACACACACACAGACACACACACACAGTGACACACACACAGTGACACACACACACACACAGTAACAAAGATAACAAAGATCCCCCGTATAGCCTTAACAGACTGTAGGGGCAAGTGCTGTTAGCGAGCACCTATGAAGGCCGGAACGGTACACGAGGGGGTGGGTGGCCAGCACCACGCCCGACCGCCTTTGTCTCCCCAGTGGCGATGTTTACACACCGCACCAGGTAACTCATTTGAGGCTGAGTCGACCTAGGGGAGGCCCGGGACCGGTTCAGATAATCGTCACTGGTGTTGGCCGTGAGCGGGAATCGAACCCGGGTCGCCAGGTTCATAGCGCAGCGTAGCGCTAACCACTACACTATCGCTCACATAGACACACACACACAGACATACACACAGACACATACACACAGACACTCACACACAGACACACATACACACTCACACAAAGACACACACACACAGACACACACACAGACATACATACAGACACACACACACAGACACTCACACACAGACACTCACACACACAGACAGACACACACAGACACACATACAGACACACACAGACACACACATACATACACACAGACACTCACACACAGACACACACACACAGACACTCACACACAGACACACACAGACACTCACACACAGATACACATACACAAACTCACACATACACACACACAGACACAATCACACACTCACAGACACACACAGACACACACACAGACATACACACAGACAGATACACACACACAGACACACACACTCACACACACTCACACACAGACACACACACACTCACAGACACACTCACACATACACTCACACAAACACACACACTCAGACAGACACACACACAGACACACTCACACACACACTCACACAGACACACTCACACATACACTCACACAAACACACACACTCACACAGACACACACACACAGACACACACACACACTCACACACAGACACACACACACACTCACACACAGACACACACACACAGACACACACTCACAGACACTCACACACACTCACACACACAGACACACACACAGACACACACAGACACTCACACACAGACACACACACAGACACACAGACACACACACGGACACTCACAAACAGACACACACACAGACACACACTCACACAGACACACACAGACACACACTCACAGACACTCACACACAGACACACACACAGACACACACACACACTCACACAGACACACACAGACACACACACTCACAGACACTCACACACAGACACACACCCAGACATACACACACACACAGACACACACACAGACACACACACACAGACACACACTCACACACACATAGACACACACAGACACACACACAGACACACACACAGACACACACAGACACACACACACAGACACACACACACTCACAGACACTCACACACAACTTCATCACTAACAATGGCGACATCTATGACGCCATATGGCGCCCAAAAACTAAACCCCCCCTCCTCCACCCAAACGGCATAAAATCTAAATTAGCGAAAAAAATCTAAATAAATAAATAAGCAGAGCAGGCAGCGTCAAACAATTTTGACCATCGGCTAGGGTTAAAATCGCCTCGTCAGATGCCCCAAAAAGATCAGGCGCGCAAAAGGAGCCCCTGAAAATAAAATCGGCAAAAATTCATCGTAAAATATCGGCCGCCTCCAGCAGATTGAGGTGGGTGGGTGGGGGGAAGGGGTTATGCTAATGAGGTTGTGGGCGTGGCTCACGGGGGAGGGGTTATGCTAATGAGGTTGTGGACGGGGCTCACGGGGAAGGGGTTATGCTAATGAGGTCTTGAGCAGGGCTGACAGGGGAGGGGTTATGCTAATGAGATTGTGGGCGGGGCTCACGGGGGGGGTAGGGGGGGTGGGGGTATTTATGTTAATCAGGCAATGGGCGGGGCTTCTTGAGTTGTGCTGTAGAAGGCGATTGGGCGTGGCGTAACTATTATGCTAATGAGCGCATGAGGGGAGGGGGAGTGTTTAGTTTATGCTAATGAGCACTCCCCAGGTGGGCGTGACGTGCTATGTTAATTGTAATCCTGGGCGTGGTTCTGTCATGCAAATGAGGCCTGACGGGGGAGGGGGTGTGGCCCGGCAGATGGGCGTGGCGTGTGAGGGTGGGGCGTGGCGTATTATGCAGATAGCGAGAGTCGCACCGGTATAAATGTATGCTAATCGCGAAAGGGGCGGGTCGTTATAAATTATGGTAATCGCGAAGGGGCGTGTCGTTCTAAATTACACCCCCGTCGCGAGGGGTGAATATCGCATAAATTATGCTAATCGTGAAGGGGGCCGGGCCGGTATAAATTATGCTAATCGCGAGGTGAGGCGAAGCTGGGCGTGTCGGTATAAATTATGCTAATGCAGTGGGCGTGTCCCGTCCGTATAAGAGTTCTATACGGTCACTCCGTCCAGTTCATTCCTGGCAAGCGCAGCTGATTTATCTGCTTCGCTATCGATATTTATAAATTATTATAATAATTATTATTATTATTGACAACATTAAGCACTTTTATTATCGTGGGTATTTTAAGGAGTACATTTTTTTAAATATAAATATAAAAAATTAATCCAAAAAAATTTTCGTTTCAATTTTTAATTTCGTTTCATAGCGAGATTATTTTGGAGGTTTAAAAAAAAAATGTTTACGTTTTAAATTATTTGCGTTAATACATTTCTATTATTTACATTACTTCATACTGGTCGCGTCTTGCTCTATCCACTGCTGCTACCTGGTGAGTTTCTGAATGATTAAAATAATCATTGTTGGCGTTATCACTCACACACTATCAACAATGTGTTAGTAACATCATCATCATCACAGCTGTGTGTGTCATCAACTATTGGTACTGTCATACTCACAACAACAACAACTATTTAGTAGCTGACACTCAATCACTGTTGTTCTTGATGTTGTGGTGGTGGTGATGTCACTAATATTAATGTTTAGTGTGTCACAATCATCACAGCTGTGTGTGTGTCAACAACTATTAGTACTATCACAACAACAACAACAACTATTAGTACTATCACAACAACAACAATAACAACAACTATTAGTACTATCACAACAACAATTATTAGTACTGTCACAACAACAACAACTATTAGTACTGTCACAACAACAACAACAACTATTTAGTAGCTGACACTCAATCACTGTTGTTCTTGATGTTGTGGTGGTGGTGATGTCACTACTATTATTGTTTAGTGTGTCACAATCATCACAGCTGTGTGTGTGTCAACAACTATTAGTACTATCACAACAACAACTATTAGTACTATCACAACAACAACAACAACTATTAGTACTGTCACAACAACAACAACTATTAGTACTATCACAACAACAACAACTATTAGTACTATCACAACAACAACAACTATTAGTACTATCACAACAACAACTATTAGTACTATCACAACAACAACAACTATTAGTACTATCACAACAACAACAACTATTTAGTAGCTGACACTCAATCACTGTTGTTCTTGATGTTGTGGTGGTGGTGATGTCACTACTATTATTGTTGTACTGTGTCACAATCATCACAGCTGTTGTGTGTGTCAACAACTATTAGTACTATCACAACAACAACAACTATTAGTACTGTCACAACAACAACAACTATTAGTACTATCACAACAACAACAACAACTATTAGTACTATCACAACAACAACAACTATTAGTACTATCACAACAACAACATCAACAACTATTAGTACTATCACAACAACAACAACTATTAGTACTATCACAACAACAACATCAACAACTATTAGTACTATCACAACAACAACAACTATTAGTACTATCACAACAACAATTATTAGTACTGTCACAACAACAACAACTATTAGTACTATCACAACAACAACAACAACTATTTAGTAGCTGACACTCAATCACTGTTGTTCTTGATGTTGTGGTGGTGGTGATGTCACTACTATTATTGTTGTACTGTGTCACAATCATCACAGCTGTTGTGTGTGTCAACAACTATTAGTACTATCACAACAACAACAACTATTAGTACTGTCACAACAACAACAACTATTAGTACTATCACAACAACAACAACAACTATTAGTACTATCACAACAACAACAACAATTAGTACTATCACAACAACATCAACAACTATTAGTACTATCACAACAACAACTATTAGTACTATCACAACAACAACTATTAGTACTATCACAACAACAACAACAACTATTAGTACTGTCACAACAACAACAACTATTAGTACTATCACAACAACAACAACTACTATTAGTACTATCACAACAACAACAACAACTATTAGTACTATCACAACAACAACTATTAGTACTATCACAACAACAACTATTAGTACTATCACAACAACAACAACAACTATTTAGTAGCTGACACTCAATCACTGTTGTTCTTGATGTTGTGGTGGTGGTGATGTCACTACTATTATTGTTTAGTGTGTCACAATCATCACAGCTGTTGTGTGTGTCAACAACTATTAGTACTATCACAACAACAACAACTATTAGTACTATCACAACAACAACTATTAGTACTATCACAACAACAACAACTATTAGTACTGTCACAACAACAACAACTATTAGTACTATCACAACAACAATTAGTACTATCACAACAACAACAACAACAACTATTAGTACTATCACAACAACAACAACAACTATTAGTACTATCACAACAACAACTATTAGTACTATCACAACAACAACAACTATTAGTACTATCACAACAACAACAACTATTAGTACTATCACAACAACAACTATTAGTACTATCACAACAACAACAACTATTAGTACTATCACAACAACAACAACAACTATTAGTACTATCACAACAACAACTATTAGTACTATCACAACAACAACAACTATTAGTACTATCACAACAACAACAACTATTTAGTAGCTGACACTCAATCACTGTTGTTCTTGATGTTGTGGTGGTGGTGATGTCACTACTATTATTGTTGTACTGTGTCACAATCATCACAGCTGTGTGTGTGTCATCAACTATTAGCACTGTCACACTCACAACAACAACAACTATTAGTACTATCACAACAACAACAACAACAACTATTTAGTAGCTGACACTCAATCACTGTTGTTCTTGATGTTGTGGTGGTGGTGATGTCACTACTATTATTGTTTACTGTGTCACAATCATCACAGCTGTGTGTGTCAACAAGTATTAGTACTATCACAACAACAACAACAACTATTAGTACTGCCACAACAACAACAACTATTTAGTACTATCACAACAACAACTATTTAGTACTATCACAACAACAACAACAACTATTGGTACTGTCACAACAACAACAACAACTATTAGTACTATCACAACAACAACAACAACTATTGGTACTGTCACACTCACAACAACAACAACTATTTAGTACTGTCACACTCACAACAACAACAACTATTTAGTACTGTCACACTCACAACAACAACAACAACTATTGGTACTGTCATACTCACAACAACAACAACTATTGGTACTGTCACACTCACTACACTCGTGTGAAGAAGGTGGTGATGGTGGTGGTGATGCTGATTGTGGTGGTGGTGGTGGTGATGGTGGTTATTGTGAAGGTAATGGTGGTGGTGTAAATTGTGGTGATTGTGCTTGTGATTGTGGTGATTGTGATGGTGGTGATGCTGATTGTGATGGTGGTGATTGTGGTGGTGGTGGTGGTGATTGTGCCGGTGGTGATTGTGGGTGGTAATGGTGGTGGTGGTAAATGTGATGATTGTGGTTGTGATTGTGGTGATTGTGATGGTGGTGGTGATGCTGATTGTGATGGTGCTGATTGTGGTGGTGGTGATTGTGGCGGTGGTGATTGTGGGTGGTAATGGTGGTGGTGGTAAATGTGATGATTGTGGTTGTGATTGTGGTGATTGTGATGGTGATAGTGGTGATGCTGATTGTGTTGGTGGTGATTCTGGTGGTGGTGATGGCAGTGGTGATTGTGGTGGTGATGGTTTTGGATGATTGTGGTGGTGGTGGTGGTGGAAGTTGTGGTGATAGTGGTGGTAGTGATGGTGATAGTAGTGGTGGTGATAGGTTCCGGCTGTTCCGGCATCGGCGCATCCACACAACATCATGGATGCATGCCGGGTCCAAGCAAGAACATCTGCTGGACTACGTAGTGACGGACCAGCGGATGCGAGCCCATGTCCTTGACACCAGGACCTACCGTGGAGCTGATCTGCCCTCTGACCATCGACTAGTCATCTGTAAGATGCGCCTGCCATTCTTCCACTCCGGTGGTGGGTGTACACCCAGGACCCCATTCCAACCTAAAGTGGCCTGGTCTCAGTTATCTGATGAAAGTTGCAAGCGAGAATTTCATCATCGCTTGCGGCTGGGATTGGCATCGTCCCCGACTCCTCCTGATGTCGAGGGTAAATGGGCGAGGTTTAGGACTGTGACTCATGCAGCTGCAATGGCTGCTTTGGGTACGCGGTCCAGACCTCCCCAGAGACCCTGGCTGACAGAGGAGTTGTTCAGGATGGTTGAGAAAAAGCGACAGGCCCAATGTCATCGGCTACAGAATCCCACGTCAGAGAATGAGGAGGCTTACCGCAGCCTTTGCTCGGAGGTTCGGAGAGCCGTGAGGCGCTGCAAGGATGGGTGGTGGTCGCGGGTTGCTGAGGAGATGGAGTCTGCCTCAGTGGCCCGTGATCACAAATCTCTATTTAACTCCAAAAAAGTAACCTGCAGCGCCACACCTATTACCATCATTAGGGGAAAAAACGGTGATCCAATCTCCGACCCCCAAGAACAGGTTTGCAGATTTGCTGAGCATTTCTGTGAGGTCCTGGGGGAGGGGAAATCTCTCAGCTAGGAAAACATCGTGGGACAAAGTGGGGATGACCCTGCTGAGGCTGCGGTGCCTCAAATATTGGAAGAAGTCACCCCCTGTGAGTGGCTGGCTGAGGTGTCATCTGTTGAGGAAGTACTGAGGGCGATCCGGAGTCTGAGACCAGGAAAGGCACCGGGCAGAGATGATCTCCCTAGCGAAATGCTGAGGGAGGGTGGCGTTTGTGCACAGACTGCCCTATATGACATCATAACAACAGTATGGACCACTGGATGGGTTATGCAGGATTGGAAGGATGCCCTGGTGGTCCCCCTCTTTAAGAAGGGGGACCGCACAGACTGTAACAACTACAGGGGCATCTCACTCCTCAGTGTGCCGGGAAAGGTCCTGGCAAGGATTATTCAACATCGCCTTGCCAGGCACGCTGAGGAGAGGCTTGCGGAGCCCCAATGCGGTTTCAGGAAAGGGCGGTCCTGCACAGATGCCATATTTTCTGTCCGTCTGCTACAGCAGAGGTGTAGGGAATTCCAACAAGACCTACATCTCTGCTTTATTGACCTGGTCAAGGCCTTTGCTACCATCAGTAGGCCTGGGCTCTGGGTTGTTCTTCGTGCTTTTGGAGTCCCTGACTCCCTGCTCACGATCATTAAGGACCTTCATGATGGTGAGCGGGCCAGGGTAAAACTACGTGGCTGGGAGTCAGAGCCATTCCCTGTACACCTTGGGGTGCGACAGGGATGTCCTCTGGCTGCCACATTATTTAACATCTATTTTGACCACGTAGTTCGTGAAGCCTTCAATAGCTGTACCGGGGGAATCTCGATTTGGTACAGATATAATGGGAGGCTGTTCGATGCCCGGGTGCGGTCAAGGGATGGCTTCCTATTGCACAAACACGTTATGTATGCTGATGATTTGGTAATAGCTGCTCACTCAGAGGAGGAGTTGGAGATGCTGCTGCTGAGACTGGAGCGTGCCACTGAGAGATGGGGCCTTACCATCAGCCCCACTAAAACTAAGCACCTGCCTAGGTATTTTGTACCATCGGACACTCCACCCCCACAACTCCCAATCGGTGATGGGGCAGTTGTGGAGAGAGTGGAGAGTTTCCCATACCTGGACAGTGTGCTTATGAGCGGCTCCAGTTTAACAGCAGAGGTCTCACTCCGAATCAGTCGAGCGGCAATATCTTTTCATCGGTAGCGTAACGCTGTGTGGAAGCTACCTGGTCTGTCGCTCCGCACTAAGCTTCAGGTCTTCTCGGCCACGGTCATTCCCTCCCTTCTCTACGCTTGCGAAACGTGGACCCCCCTAATGGAACATCTTCGCCGGTTAGAAACATTTAGGCTGGCCTGCCTACGATCCATCCTGGGTTTAACCAGACTGGATTGTGTGAGGAGCTCACAAATCCTTGAAAGATCTGGGCAGGGTCCCATCGGTGAGCTCCTCCGGCAGGCAAGGCTGCGATGGCTGGGTCATGTAGCCCGCATGCCCAGCCACCGCATGCCGAAACAGCTTTTGTTTGGCCGGATTGAGGGGGCTAAGCGGGCGCGGCACGGGCTAGAGAAGAGATGAAGTGATGTGGTACAGGAGGACGTGGAGCTGAGTGGACTTGCCGATGACCGGTACCAGCGGTGTCAAGATCGGCCTCTGTGGAGGAGGAGGCTCGTGAAGGATGCTACTGGGCAGTTGGAGGCAGTCGCCCTCCAACAACAACGGAGGGCGGAGGAGCGACGCTCACAACAACGAGCGGAGCGTCGGGTGGCTAAAGCACAGCAGGTTGGCACAGTAGGGGGCACAGGTGGTGCATCAGCCAGTCATCTCAGTCATCTCAGTCAGTCGACCCGTGGCACCTGCTGGGTCTGCCCCGTGACCTCCTGCCAGCGGGCGTTCGACACTCCACGTGATAGCCTCAAGGTGCACATAGCCTGGCACAAGCGTCGTGGTGACGTCACCGCCACTTAGTGGCGAATGGCGGTTGTTGTTGTTGTGTGTGTGTCATTTATTTGTGTGTGTATTTATTTATGTGTATGTGTGTGTATGTGAATGTGTGTGTAAGTGTGTGTGTATTTGTGTGTGTATGTGAATGTGTGTGTAAGTGTGTGTGTATTCATTTACGTGTGTATGTGTGTATGTGCGTGAGTATGTGTGTGTATATGTGTATATGTATTTTTTCTGTGTATATATGTGTATATGTAAATTTTTTACGTGTGTATATGTGCATGTGTATTTTTTTACGTGTGTGTATATGTGTATATGTATTTTTTACGTGTGTATATGTGTATATGTATTTTTTACGTGTGTATATGTGTATATGTATGTATTTATTTTTATATATGTGTATATGTATTATTTATGTGTATGTGTATATGCGTATATGTATGTATTTATGTGTGTATGTGTGTATATGTTTATGTACGTGTGTATATATGTGTATGTATGTGTGTGTATTTGTGTGTGTATGTGTGTAAGTGTGTGTGTGTATATGTGTGTATTTATTTGTGTGTATGTGTGTATGTATGTGTGTGTGTATATTTACGTGTGTATGTGTGTGTCTGAGTGTGTTTGTCTGAGTGTGTGTGTGAGAGTGGGTGAGTGAGTGAGTGGTAAGTAAGTGGGTGAGTGGGTGGGTGAGTGAATTGGTGAGTGAGTGGGTGAGTGGGTGGGTGAGTGAATTGGTGAGTGAGTGGGTGAGTGGGTGGGTGAGTGAATTGGTGAGTGAGTGGGTGAGTGAGTGAGTGGGTGAGTGACTGGGTGAGTGAGTGGGTGATTGAGTGGTGAGTGAGTGAGTGGGTGAGTGAGTGGGTGAGTGAGTGGGTGGGTGGATGAGTGGGTGGGTGAGTGGGTGGGTGAGTGAGTGAGTGACTGGGTGAGTGAGTGGGTGAGTGAGTGAGTGGGTGAGTGAGTGGGTGGGTGGGTGAGTGAGTGGCTGAGTGAGTGGGTGAGTGAATGGGTGAGTGATTGAGTGGTGAGTGAGTGAGTGACTGGGTGAGTGAGTGGGTGATTGAGTGGTGAGTGAGTGAGTGGGTGAGTGACTGGCTGAGTGAGTGAGTGGGTGAGTGAGTGGGTGAGTGAGTGAGTGGGTGAGTGAGTGGGTGAGTGAGTGAGTGGGTGGGTGAGTGAGTGGGTGGGTGAGTGAGTGGGTGAGTGAGTGGGTGAGTGAGTGACTGGGTGAGTGAGTGGGTGAGTGAGTGAGTGGGTGAGTGAGTGGGTGGGTGGGTGAGTGAGTGGGTGAGTGAGTGGGTGATTGAGTGAGTGGGTGAGTGAATGGCTGAGTGAATGAGTGGGTGAGTGATGTTCACCATCGATTCCCGCAGGGCGAACCGGAATCCAGACGGAACGAATCAACCAAAACCGGTTTCCACCGAACTAAAACCCAAACCGTTTGGATTCGCAACCCGAAAGAAAATCGACGTTCGGATTGGAATCGTTATCGGAATCGATTCCGCAACCGGATTACCGATAAGAAGGCGGCAGTTCCCATCCTTGGTCCGGGAGGAATCGACGGCAGTGTATTTGAGCAATCGATCCGACGCGACTCGCATTGGAATGCACGAGGATTTGACGCCGTGACGGAATCGACACTAGGCGGAGTCGAAATCGACGCCTATGTAAGTACCCTCAAGCCAAACACACTCAGACACAGACAGACACACACACACACAGACACACACAGACAGACAGACACACAGACAGTGACACACACACAGACACACACACAGACACACACACAGACACACACACACAGACACACACACAGACACAGACACACACACACACACAGACACACACACACAGACACACAGACACACACACACAGACACAGACACACACAGACACACACACAGACACAGACACACACAGACTCACACACAGACTCACACACAGACACACACACACAGACACACTCACACACAGACACACACACACAGACACAGACACACACAGACTCACACACAGACACACACACAGACACACACACACACAGACACACACAGACACACAGACAGACACAGACACACAGACAGACACACACACAGACACACACAGACAGACACACACACAGACACACACACACAGACACACACAGACACACACACACAGACACACACACACACAGATACACACACACACACACATACACACAGAGAGAGACACACAGACACACACACAGACACACACACACAGACACACACACACAGACACACACAGCTTCGTCTTATAGAGCTGCGTGTCTTTGTAATGTGTGTGTGTAATGTGTGTGTGTAATGTGTGTGTGTGTCTGTGTGTGTAATGTGTGTGTAATGTGTGTGTGTAATGTGTATATATGTGGGTGTGTGTGTGTGTGTATGTGTGTGTGTATGTCTGTGTATATGTGTGTGTGTGTCTGTGTGTGTTATGTGTGTGTGTAATGTGTGTGTGTAATGTGTATATCTATGTGGGTGTGTAATGTGTGTGTATAATGTGTGTGTGTAATGTGTGTGTGTATGTGTGTGTATATGTGTGTGTGTGTGTGTAATGTGTGTGTATGTGTGTGTATGTGTGTAATGTGTGTATGTGTGTGTATATGTGTGTGTGTGTAATGTGTGTGTATGTGTGTGTATATGTGTGTGTGTGTAATGTGTGTGTATGTGTGTGTATATGTGTGTGTGTGTAATGTGTGTGTGTAATGTGTGTGTATGTGTGTGTATATGTGTGTGTGTGTAATGTGTATATATATGTGGGTGTGTATATGTGTGTGTGTGTGTTTATGTGTGTGTAATGTGTGTGTGTTTATGTGTGTGTGTGTAATGTGTATATATATGTGGGTGTGTATATGTGTGTGTGTGTGTTTATGTGCGTGTAATGTGTATGTGTTTATGTGTGTATGTATAATGTGTGTGTGTTTATGTGTGTGTGTGTAATGTGTATATATATGTGTGTGTGTAATGTGTGTGTAATGTGTGTGTATATGTGTGTGTGTAATGTGTGTGTGTTTATGTGTGTGTAATGTGTGTATATGTGTGTATATATGTGTGTGTAATGTGTGTGTAATGTGTGTGTGTATATGTGTGTGTATATATGTGTGTGTGTGTGATATGTGTCTGTGTGTGTATATATATGTGTGTGTGTGTAATGTGTGTATGTGTGTGTAATGTGTGTGTGTATGTGTGTGTATATGTGTGTGTAATGTGTGTGTGTAATGTGTGTGTATATGTGTGTGTATGTGTGTGTGTATGTGTGTGTGTATGTGTGTGTGTATATGTGTGTGTGTGTAATGTGTGTGTATATATGTGTGTGTGTGTAATGTGTGTGTAATGTGTGTGTATATGTGTGTGTAATGTGTGTGTGTATATGTGTGTGTGTGTAATGTGTGTGTGTATGTGGCTGGGTCATGTAGCCCGCATCCCCAGCCACCACATGCCGAAACAGCTTTTGTTCGTCCGGATCGAGGGAGGCTAAACGGGCACGGGTCTAGAGAAGAGATGGAGTGACGTGGTACAGGAGGCACGGGCTAGAGAAGAGATGGAGTGATGTGGTACAGGAGGCACGGGCTAGAGAAGAGATGGAGTGATGTGGTACAGGAGGCACGGGCTAGAGAAGAGATGGAGTGATGTGGTACAGGAGGCACGGGCTAGAGAAGAGATGGAGTGATGTGGTACAGGAGGCACGGGCTAGAGAAGAGATGGAGTGATGTGGTACAGGAGGCACGGGTTAGTGAAGAGATGGAGTGACGTGGTACAGGAGGCACGGGCTAGAGAAGAGATGGAGTGATGTGGTACAGGAGGCACGGGCTAGAGAAGAGATGGAGTGATGTGGTACAGGAGGCACGGGCTAGAGAAGAGATGGAGTGATGTGGTACAGGAGGACGTGGAGCTAGAGAAGAGATGGAGTGACGTGGTACAGGAGGCACGGGCTAGATAAGAGATGGAGTGACGTGGTACAGGAGGCACGGGCTAGTGAAGAGATGGAGTGATGTGGTACAGGAGGCACGGTCTAGATAAGAGATGGAGTGATGTGCTACAGGTGGCACGGGCTAGAGAAGAGATGGAGTGACGTGGTACAGGAGGCACGGGTCTAGATAGGAGATGGAGTGACGTGGTACAGGAGGCACGGGCTAGAGAAGAGATGGAGTGAAGTGGTACAGGAGGCACGGGCTAGAGAAGAGATGGAGTGATGTGGTACAGGAGGCACGGGCTAGTGAAGAGACGGAGTGATGTGGTACAGGAGGCACGGGCTAGAGAAGAGATGGAGTGATGTGGTACAGGAGGCACGGGCTAGAGAAGAGATGGAGTGATGTGGTACAGGAGGCACGGGGCTAGAGAAGAGATGGAGTGACGTGGTACAGGAGGCACGGGCTAGAGAAGAGATGGAGTGATGTGGTACAGGAGGCACGGGCTAGAGAAGAGATGGAGTGATGTGGTACAGGAGGCACGGGCTAGAGAAGAGATGGAGTGATGTGGTACAGGAGGCACGGGCTAGAGAAGAGATGGAGTGACGTGGTACAGGAGGCACGGGTTAGTGAAGAGATGGAGTGATGTGGTACAGGAGGCACGGGCTAGAGAAGAGATGGAGTGATGTGGTACAGGAGGCACGGGCTAGAGAAGAGATGGAGTGATGTGGTACAGGAGGCACGGGTTAGTGAAGAGATGGAGTGACGTGGTACAGGAGGCACGGGCTAGAGAAGAGATGGAGTGATGTGGTACAGGAGGCACGGGCTAGAGAAGAGATGGAGTGACGTGGTACAGGAGGCACGGGCTAGATAAGAGATGGAGTGATGTGGTACAGGAGGCACGGGCTAGAGCAGACATGGAGTGATGTGGTACAGGAGGCACGGGCTTGAGAAGAGATGGAGTGATGTGGTACAGGAGGCACGGGCTAGAGAAGAGATGGAGTGATGTGGTACAGGAGGACGTGGAGCTAGAGAAGAGATGGAGTGATGTGGTACAGGAGGCACGGGCTAGAGAAGAGATGGAGTGACGTGGTATAGGAGGCACGGCCTAGTGAAGAGATGGAGTGACGTGGTACAGGAGGCACGGGCTGGAGAAGAGATGGAGTGATGTGGTACAGGAGGCACGGGCTAGAGAAGAGATGGAGTGATGTGGTATAGGAGGCACGGGCTAGAGAAGAGATGGAGTGACGTGGTACAGGAGGCACGGGGCTAGTGAAGAGATGGAGTGATGTGGTACAGGAGGCACGGGTTAGCGAAGAGATGGAGTGATGTGGTACAGGAGGCACGGGCTAGATAAGAGATGGAGTGATGTGGTACAGGAGGCACGGGCTAGAGAACAGATGGAGTGATGTGGTACAGGAGGCACGGGCTAGAGAAGAGATGGAGTGATGTGGTACAGGAGGCACGGGTTAGAGATGGAGTGAGGTGGTACAGGTGGCACGGGGCTAGAGAAGAGATGGAGTGATGTGGTACAGGAGGCACGGGTTAGAGATGGAGTGATGGGGTACAGGAGGCACGGGCTAGAGCAGAGATGGAGTGACGTGGTACAGGAGGCACGGGCTAGAGCAGACATGGAGTGATGTGGTACAGGAGGCACGGGCTTGAGAAGAGATGGAGTGATGTGGTACAGGAGGCACGGGCTAGAGAAGAGATGGAGTGATGTGGTACAGGAGGACGTGGAGCTAGAGAAGAGATGGAGTGATGTGGTACAGGAGGCACGGGCTAGAGAAGAGATGGAGTGACGTGGTACAGGAGGCACGGGCTAGTGAAGAGATGGAGTGACGTGGTACAGGAGGCACGGGCTGGAGAAGAGATGGAGTGATGTGGTACAGGAGGCACGGGCTAGAGAAGAGATGGAGTGATGTTGTATAGGAGGCACGGGCTAGAGAAGAGATGGAGTGACGTGGTACAGGAGGCACGGGCTAGAGAAGAGATGGAGTGACATGGTACAGGAGGCACGGGCTCTAGATAAGAGATGGAGTGATGTGGTACAGGAGGCACGGGCTAGAGAAGAGATGGAGTGACGTGGTACAGGAGGCACGGGCTAGAGAAGAGATGGAGTGACGTGGTACAGGAGGCACGGGCTAGATAAGAGATGGAGTGATGTGGTACAGGAGGCACGGGCTCTAGAGAAGAGATGGAGTGATGTGGTACAGGAGGCACGGGCTAGAGAAGAGATGGAGTGACGTGGTACAGGAGGCACGGGTAGTGAAGAGATGGAGTGATGTGGTACAGGAGGCACGGGCTAGAGCAGACATGGAGTGATGTGGTACAGGAGGCACGGGCTAGAGAAGAGATGGAGTGATGTGGTACAGGAGGCACGGGCTAGACAAGAGATGGAGTGATGTGGTACAGGAGGCACGGGCTAGAGAAGAGACGGAGTGATGTGGTACAGGAGGCACGGGTTAGTGAAGAGATGGAATGACGTGGTACAGGAGGCACGGGCTAGAGAAGAGATAGAGTGATGTGGTACAGGAGGCACGGGTCTAGAGAAGAGATGGAGTGATGTGGTACAGGAGGCACGGGTCTAGATAAGAGATGGAGTGATGTGGTACAGGAGGCACGGGCTAGATAAGAAATGGAGTGATGTGGTACAGTAGGCACGGGCTCTAGATAAGAGATGGAGTGACGTGGTACAGGAGGCATGGGCTAGATAAGAGATGGAGTGACGTGGTACAG